ACGAAAAAGCTACCGGCTTGCTGTGAGTATACATGTATCACTTASGGCCTACATAAGTGTTAAACATGATCGTAGCCCGACGTCACGATCGATTCGATCGTCTAGTTAATGTCACATACTGCACCTTTGCTTGACAGATGCTTGATTGCTAAAAATAGCTCTCAAAATTGCCAAACTTTATACCGAGTTCATGTAAAAACTAAAATAGCTATTTTAAAAATTTAAATTGCAGCTTTCTAACTAATTCTTTGATATTTATTTCAGTGATATCCAGACCATTTAATTAAAAGGAAAATTTTCTGGAACTCGAAATATTCGCATATGTATTTTATATGCAAATTAATACCTTTACAAAGCGATCATTTTTTAAACGTGCAAGTATTTTGTTTGCAATAAAATTCGGAGTGATTACTAAACAAGAGATGAGCTTTACAAATACATAAAATTAGTCTGAGCAAATCACTCTCAGTTGCATAGAAATGAATACTTCTGGCGACAATAATCCGTTGAAACACCAAATGTTTTAAACTTAACCCTTTTTATTTCAATAACATATGTTTAATATGTTTATCCAGCTGATCTGAGAAAAAATGTTAGCCAATCAGAATCGAGAAAATTTGCAAAACTGAATTGTCACCCTTGGTAGCTGGCTTTCAAAATGGCGGACTTACGTGCTCGACGGGGAAAAGTTTATTGTTTATTCTTCTTTGTCCTTGGGGTGATTTTCTGAAATCTCTTCGCTGGCTTTTGTGTATCTTGATCTTAAAAGGCCATTGAACATTTTGAATACAAAAAAGTCAGTGACCTCGATACAGTCAAGACAGAAACACAGATAATATGAATAGATTTTTATTTTCAACACTTACAAATGTTTTATATTTTCGCCGGCTCGCGACGCGTCCGTCCACTACTCACGCAAATATTTATGCATTTAATTAAATTTGGTAGACCGCTGGTCAGTCCTGTGGGCCCAAGKACARCTCAGTTTTGCAAATACGTCATCATGACGTCACATTTCAGATCAGCTGGATATGCTTTGAAAATTGTTGGGTTAATACAACTGACAAAATATGTGTTTACGCTGATAATTTTTGACTAGAACAAGTCACTCCTACGCACCTGAAAGTGATTTGCCCAGACTTATTATTATTTCTTTGTAAACCCATACCTTGCTTAGTTATCGCCGAATTTCATTGCAAACAAAATACTTGCACATAGAAAAAATAATCATTTTTTTCTAGGTACTAATTTGCATATACAACTACATATGTAAACACTTCGAGTTCTAGAAAATTTTCTTTTTAATTAAATGCTCTGAAAATCAACGAAATGAATAAGAAAGAGTTACTTAGAAAGCCACAATTTAAATTTTTGAAATTACTATTTTACATTTCACACAAGCTCGGTAGAAAGTTTGGCTATTTCGAGTGCTATTTTTAGCCATCAAACATTTGTCACGCAAAGGCCCAGTATGTGGCATTGTTTAGCGATTTTCTTGCGAAAAATGAAATATTTTCAAAAACCAATCACACAGCGATTGTTACCTAATCATACCTTATCAATATACAAAATATGAATAGATTTTGATTTTTTCGAGCCTTGCCAAGATATGTCTGATTTTTGCGCGAAGTGGCTCTTGAAACCCAGGCCTCCCAACCCAGAGCACATTATAGCCGGGGATCTACAATCCTGTCCTGTCCTGTTCTGTCAAAACTGGTTTGACAGGGCAATGGATGAGAGGGTGGAAGAATTGACGTCTAAATCAAAGGAAATTATCAAAGTGTCGGAAAATGGCGGGACTTTAATATTGATGAAATTGTAATTTCTCAGGTATTCAGGTGAGACTGCAGAGACGTGGTTTCAAAAGACCAACACATTATTCGCGGGCTAACCTTCATATCAATGTAGACGAAACCTTGAGACGGCCGAAGGTCCTTTAAATCGTCACCATCGTTTAATTCACAGATCTCTTTGGCTGAGTTGTAATTGATTGTTAAACATCTTGAAATAAATTAATGAATTATATAATAATCAAAATGCATATTAGAAGAGTATTTGCTTTTAAAGAAAACGTACTCCAGAAATTAGGTTAAAGAATAGGTTGAAARTCAGTATGGATTGCCCCTGCGCCTTTAAGAGTGAAATATATAATCAAACCACGCCAGGATGTTGTGAGAAGATGAAAAAACGTCTATCTTTTAGTTTATTTATTGATTAATGTACGTTTTCTTACTTTTCAATCATATTACACTTGAGTCTACAGAGAATCTCCTTTTCTGCATACAACCAGGTGATAACATGTCCATACAAACGAGAGCCTTGTTTTTCAACAATGTTCGGTGCATATGCCGGACATTGACCTATAATATTGAAACAAGAGCTAGAAATGTTTAACAATGTCAAAAAAGTTAGCCTCCCAATCGGCACAATTCCTACCAAAAAAAAACTGTCGTCTCAGCGAAGTGCTATTTGCCGGCYGGAATTAGCCATGGGCTACGCGAAGGGAAATAACAACTGATTTAAACTGGAAAATAGTCTGTGGTAAACATTAGCTCAATTTAGTCTCCATCCCTATGCAAGATGAATCTAATAAGGGAAAAATTGTTTGTCAAAAGAGRGTAACCATAATCCGTTTCGGTCGTGCAATMACYCTTGACGACAATCGCMGTTCGCCGTTACCCTTTACAACGTTTTTTTAATAAGTTTACAAACATTTTACAAACATTTTCATTATTTTATAATTTAAAAGAAACTTACAAAAAGAAAATAAATCAATAAGTCAATAAATAAAACGAAACTGTAGCATTGTACGCAAAAATCTGCCAGATGCAAGTCCACATAGGAAGCCGTCTGACATCGCCTACCTAAATTAATTTCAATACCATAATATTCACTTGGTGATAGACCCTGAAGTATCTTTACAATAGTTTGGATCTCTCTTCGCGTGATGGAAAAATGAAAATAAATTGAACTTACACGTTTGGTTTTCAAAAAAAAGAGCAATGGCTAGTTTTGTTACCACTAAAACAATCTSAAGCTCTCCATAGCACTTACCTTGGACACCGTATTGACTWAAAAACCAGTCGAAAATCATAAGGAYACAAATAACAAACATTTTACCACTAACACAGCTGYAGAAATCCCAAGATAAACAGAATTATGTCGACCTTGTTCCTCTTACTCAACTTAAACTGTTTTAGCAATTTAACAAATCATTTCTTGAAGTAATARWATGAGCAGGTAATATAAAGATGTGCACTCAAAAACGCTGGACTCGAAACGACTTTCGTCCCTTGAAGTGTGCTTATAAGCTCTCAATTGACCGTTAATGTACGTCCTCAGTAAACAAATAGCTCAATTAATTGTCATTTTTTTTAAGATTGATATTCATATTCACCACCACCTGCAAAGACAAGTTTGAAAACAAAATGAATAGAAGCATTTTGTAATATGCAAAACACCGAATAACACTGTGAATTATATTGACATATCTCGTCATATTTTAAACAGAAAAGTTTTGGCAACAACAATTATAACGACGATTAGAATTATTTTGGCATGAAAAAAAAAAAAATGAAACTTTTCGTTTTTATATGGACTCAAGTTTCGGAAATGTGCCATTGAACTTGATWACCTGCCCCAGGTATTATTTATAAAGCAATAGTATTTTTTCCAAAAGTAAATTTACATGTAAAAACCCGTTATATTAAACATTAATGCACTTCTTTCATCTAAAGAAAGTTAAAGAAATTTCCATCATTTTAGATTATCATCATTTTAAGATATGCTCTCATATTCTATATTCGAGTATTTCAGTTGGAGTTAACTTAATATAATTMTTTRATAACCCGTGAAATAGATATTACWCTAAAACACCTTAGTGCGCTCTAATTGCTTTGTTCTCTTAGGTGTCTATTTGACTATCACACTTTAGRCATGATAGAAGTCAGGTTTTTGTTACAAGGGTTTAATAACTTTACTCTCGAATGGGTATCATTTCACATGTATTATGACATCGCTGCAAAAATTAACATTCACTTTTAGCTTACTTTTAAATGAAAAAATGATGATCTCTATATGACAGCGATTTCCCCTTTTAATGAACTAAATGCATGGCTGGTGGTTTTATGTCCCATATCAAGCTAGCTAATCTTCTATATTTCTAATTAATAGAAGATTTTCTCCGTGACTCTACCGGTGAAATAGAGCACGCGTGATGCTGGGAGAGACACGAGAAAAGTTTTAAAGTCACRAGCCGGCAGAAATTGAGAGTAATGTTGTTTTTTCGCTACCAGGGAGCGACCCGTGACTTWACCGGCGAAATAGAGCATACTAGATTTTTCTAGGCTTTCGGCCAATCAGAGCGCGCGTACTATCTAAGTTATATTATAAATCTCGGAAGCTGAATACCTGCAGTTTGAAACTTTGCCCATATTATTTTTTCTTTATTTAAACGTGAATCTATTTTTCACAACATCATTCTAATCGTWCGCTCATCTCTACATATCAAGAAACAACGATTTATTTGACTTATTGTATGTTTTGTTTTTAGCGCTATAATACAGCGATCAAGGATGGAGATTACTTTTTGATATAAATCGAGAAACTTTGGTCTGTGTTTTGACAACTAATCATTTTTTTTATTTGAGTTAATGTCATGTGCAGGTTAATGTAGACCTAACGGAAGTGTACTGTGTTATATTATCTATATAAGTTTTCTTAATTGAGGGTTCCCAGACCTCGTAAGTAAGTGAACCTTAATTAAGTGTCAAACATTTTGCAATATCAATTAATATTCAAACTCACCACCTGCAATGATA